CCACACCGCCCCGCGGGGGGCGGCACCCGCCGCCGCCACCCACCCGGGACCGTCCTGCGCCACCCCGCGCGCTGCCGGCTCTCTGCGGCCTTCCGTGCTGTGCCAGCGCCCCGCGCGACCCTGTCGCGGCATGACCCAGGGCCCCAGACGGGGTTCACACCGGCACTCGTTCTCCCTCCCGGCCTAGTGGCACATTCCGACATCAACGCACCGCCCCCAGGATTTTTTTTTTTTTTTTTTCCTTTTCCTTCTTCCTACTGTGCTGTTTTGTGGTACATTTGTTATTTTACACGGTTGTTGGACAGGGCGGGTGGTGTAAGAGCGCTGTGCACTATTGTTAGGGAAAGGTTGAAGAGCACCTCCAATGGGTGAAGGAGACACTTTAAAGTCAAAATAGAAAAACACCTTTGAAAACAGGATGAAAACTTCAGTACTGTGCAAGGGGGCGTTTAGCTTAGAACCAGGGTGACGTGTTTCTTCGCCAACTGTTAAGCTGGGTGTAGCTGGTGTGATTGCTAAGTGGGTGGAGTGGGGTAGGCAAAGGGGACATTTTCTGGGCAGGACCGCCTCACCCAGATCATTCGCAGAAAATTGATGTATTTTTCTGGATGATTCAAATAGAAACACTGTTCAGGTGAACATTACTTACTGGAAAGGATGTGTAACTCACTTGGGTTGTTCAGGAAACGTTTCACAGTTTTCGTTTTCGCTTTTTGGTATAAATGAAACAAGAGAAAAATCGTAGGTTCGCCCTTGACAGTTAAGGATTAAACGCTGGGTTTCTGTTGGTCTTAATCTTTCCCTCTGTGGACCAGGCTCTCAGGCTAGCCCAGAACTTGTGGCCTCAGCCTCCCGCTGAGTCATCGTGCCTGCCTGTTCTTCTGATTTTACCGTTTTGAGAAACACTCTAATGGACAGGATTGACCATAGTGTGAATCCACGGTTTGAACCACCGGATGACTTCCCTCAAATCCCCTTTTTGGATAACATGAACTCCAAAAACAGAAGTTCTGAGTAGTGAGAAAAATTCTAATACTCCTTATTGTCACATAATAAAAACATGACGTGTGGCTTTCCTGTCTGATTCTGGAGATAAAATTAGTTTTCAAGTACTTTGGTAGTCAGTCCAGGTGGACTAGACGTCCTGTGTTTCAGAACTTTAATCAGCGAGATGATCAGGGCTGAACTAGCATTTAGTTTAAGCTCTTTCAGGACTCAACTTTGAAAAGCAAGCAAGCAAACAATGTGTCCCTAATAAAATGTTTCTAACTGATGCAGGATTAGTTTTATGGACAACTGACTATGCTAATAGTTACATTTAGAGTCATTAGAGTCTTACTCCCTTTCCCTTAAGAAGTGAACTTTAATGGAGTGCTGTAAATGAAACTCTGACAACGATTGCCAACAAATTAGTAAGTCCCCAATGCTTTTGGTTCAGGAACAAAATGTAGCAGCTAATAATGACAACAATGACAAATATATATAAAGAAAGTAATTAATGAGTGTCAGACCTTCAGGGCATTTTACCAATGTGTGGTGTCCTCAACAATTCCTGGGAGATAGGTGCTTTTATTACAGGGTTGAGAAACTGGTGGAGGTCAAGGAAGGGAAAGGAGGAAATGAACTCAGAGCTGGCCTATGGTGCTGCATACCCTGGCTCTGCCCCAAGGGGAAGAAAATGTCCAGAAAGTAAATATTTTCCCATCACATGCTCCCAGTAGCAACTTCGTGGCTCTCATAACCCAGTAGTATCTGAGGATAGAGCATAAGTTAACAGTGTGGTTGTATTCCAGTACAACTTGATTTATAGTCACAAAGTTGAATTTAGCACAATTTTTGACTATCAGAACAATTTTCCCCCTGTCATTTAAGATGAAAATACCATCCTTAGCTTTCAGGTGTACCCCAAAAGAAGCAGGCCAAATGTGGCTCTCAGGCAGTAGTTTGCAAACCACTGTTGCAGGGTATTTGATGGCACTGTGACTCTCCTTGACTGTGTTAATAAAGTTAACTTTGGACTAGGGGGTGGAGCCAGTGACTAGCTGGCAGGATTTAGCCATAGAGAAGCCTGGAATATGGATGGAGAAGATGGACAAGAAAGAGAAGGGAAGGACTTGGAATTCACATGCTCCCTTTGATCTGGGAGGGAAGAGGTGCTGGCTGGATCTTGGTAAGAAAGGGAGAGTCAGATGTTTGCTCCCTCTCTGATTCTCTGGTCTATAAGATTTTTAACTCCAATATCTGATTCTCCAGTTTTTATTGGTCAGAGAACAATTTAGCAAAACACAACAGATCACTGCAAGCTTAAGACTAGGAAGTATGCCTTTAGCAAGTGACGTGCTGCTTTTAAGAGAAAGCCTATTGGTTGTGGTGGATGAATCACCCTGAGGAACGGTGACCTCCCCAACTGGATTGGAATCCAGTTGCAGAGAAGGAGGACTGATGAGCAAAGGGGTCCAGACCAGGCTGGTGAAACTGGCAGAAACAGCTGACCTGAACAATGGGGGGCTCTTGGTCCCCAGACTGGTAGCTGGGAAACCAGCATAGGACGGATCCAGACCCCATGAATGTGGGTGTCAGTGAGGAGGCCTTGGAAATCTATGGGGCCTCCTGTAGTAGATCAGTACTTATCCCTAGCATAGGAATGGACTTTGGGAACCCATTTCACATAGAGGGATATTCCCTCAGCCTAGACACATGGGGGAGGACCTAGGCCCTATCCCAAAGGATATGACAGACTCTGAATATTCCCATGGAAGGCTTCACTCTCCCTGGGGAGCAGAATTGGTATGGCATAGGTAGGGTGTTAGTGGGCGGGGGGGGGGGGGGGGGGGGGGGCAGAGGAGAAGGGTAGGGATCGGGGAACTGGGATTGACATGTAAAACAATCTTGTTTCTAATATAAATAAAAATGGAGAAAAAAAGAGCCTGTGATTAAAATGCCTACCTCAGAATCTGCCCACTGGTCAAAAGATGTGCATTAGGAGCTGACAATAAGACACAAGCCTTTAATCACAGCATTCAGAAGGCAGAGGCAGGCTATCTCTGTGAGTTCGAGGCCAGCCTGGTCTACAGACGAGTTCCAGGACAGCCTCCAAAGCGACACAGAGAAAACCTGTCTTGAAAATCCAAAAAGAAAAAAAAAATTGCAATAGGAGCACTGTGAGACTGACCCTGGCCTGTGTCATCCTATGTACTAGTAGCCAGACCACATGCAGAATGACAGGCAGCCTGCCAGTCTGTCCTTTGAATGTCTGTGCATGCAGCACAAACCCTTTTATTCATAGCCTGAGTGTTATAGAACCTAAGCAATTCATGGAAGAATATAGATTCAATATCACCCTCGCAAAACTGAAGTGTCATTTTCTTTCATGGTTTCCGTAGTTCTTTCCCATGAAGGCATGGAGATGGGATGGAATAAACAGCTTTATCACATTCTTGGCGTGTGCCAAGTGTCATGCTAGATGCTTCCTTATGACATTGCAACTAAAGCACATCACCTCCAAAGAAGTGGACTTGTGTTTTACAGATTAGGAAACTGAGGAACAAGTAACTTTCCCAAGGTTACCTACCAGGCTTTGACTCCCAGTGTAAGTGTAAAGCCTAAGTGTTTTAAAATAAAAACAGATTATAAAGACACTAAGCCACACTCATGTTTTTCCCTATGGCAGAGCTTCCTGAGGCATTAGGACAGAGGAGCAATACAGAAAAAGAACCTTAGAGACAGAAAAACTTCTCCAAAGATCCTCATGACTGCCTTGGCAAGATCAACGAACAAGCAAGGAACAGAATGCTTATTTTATCATTAAGAGGAACCTATAGAAAGATGATGGCACACCCCTCCCCATTTCGTTTTAATTTTGAATCAAATAAGTTTCACAGTGGAGTAAGACACACTCATATCCGTGAGTCTTAGATACAGACACTGCCATCCACAGGCCATCCAAAGACAGTCAGTGACAGAGCTCCAAGATGTGTATGTACACAGAGGAGAGCTTTCTCACAAGGGCCAAAATACTGTCATTTGTCTTAAGAACACACTAAGTCTTACAAAAAAGCTTCAGGGAGTTACTCCTCCATGTCATCCCGAT